CTCCCAACCTACTCCCTACCCTCTCCTCCTCTCCCCTCTCCCCTCTCCCCCCTCCTCCTCCTCAACTCACCAGCGTGCACAGAAGTTGCATTTGTAGATGCGTGACGGATCGTTCGAGAAGTCACTCCTTCCCCTCCTGCCCCTCCCCCCTCTTCTTGCACCCTCTCCCCCCTCTCCCACCCTCTCCCCCTCTCCCACCTCTCCCACACCTCCCCTCAACTCACCGGCGCGCGCAGAAGTTGCACTTGTAGATGCGTGACGGATCGTTCGAGAAGTCGACGCCGTGCACGTTGGTGAGGTGCAGCTCGAGGCTGTTGCGCGACTTGCAGCGGTAGTCGCACAGGCTGCACGGGAAGCGGCGCTCGTTGGTGTGCACGAGCATGTGGCGCGTCAAGTCGCTCGGCTTCAGCGAGATCTTGCCGCAGACGCGGCACATGCGCCGCGCGACGTACTCGGGGCTGCGCTGCATCAGGTCCCGCACGGACGACGCCTTCGTCGCCGACGCCGACGTGGAGGACGATGGGGCGAAGCGACCGGTCACCTAGGGGAGACCGGTGGATGTGGATTAGCCCGGCAATCTGCGGGGGACGTGCGCGTCATGAGAGGGAGAGGAAGGAGGGAGGGCATGGAGGGAGGCAGAGAGCGGGAGAGGGAGGAGGGAAGTAGGGAGGCGGAGAGTGGTAGAGGGAGGTGAGATGGCACATAGAGAGAGGTGGAGAGAGGAGCAGAGAGGAGGGAGGGCATGGAGGGAGGCAGAGAGAGAGGGAGAGGGAGGAGCGCCGCCACGCTGGCAGCGTTCACGTACCTTCGATATGGAGATGTTGGGGACTGCTCCGGCTAGCGCTTGCTTTCCTCCTTCTCCTCCTCCTCCTGTTCCTCCCCCGCCTCCTCCCGCGTGCAGGGCCGCCACGCCGGCAGCGTTCACGTATAGCATGCTCGGCACAGCCTCCCGCTCTCCCTCCAGCTTCACGACGACCGGATACGCGTCGCCGCGACAACCGTCGTCGTCCTCGTCCTCGTCCTCGTCGTTGCCGGCGGCGATGGAGGCGGCGATCTTCGCCGCTCCGCACCTCACCAGCTCTTCGTAAAGGTCGACCGGCTCCTGCTTGACCCTGCACACAGAGGTCACGGGGTCAAGAGGTCACGGGGTCAAGAGGTCACGGGGTCGATCGACGAAACGAGGACATGGGTGTGGAAGCTCTCGCACATCTAACGCCCCAGCAGGGGGCGGTGGTGCAGCGGTTTCGCCGGCTTGGCATGCTATCGCGTGAGATTCTGCCACCAGGTGGCGTCAGCACACCGATATTACACTGTGCGTGCTTCCGTGTGAGTTAAAGGGATAAGATCAAGATCTCGCAGTCTCACGCTCTCAGTCCCGCATGCAAAACTGCTGCAAGTACACGCGAATTCCAACAAACCTATCCATCTACTACTACCATTAACTACGCGATGTCAGGAGCGTAGTATATATCTATATCTATATATATACATATTATCATCTAAATATATGTGTGTATGTGTGTATATATATATATGTATATATGGTATACTGTGCGGTTTATTATTATACACTCCTGGTATTAGTATCAGCATATAATAATAATAGATACCGTATCCAAGATCGGTCAAACTAATTATTGAAAATGATTCTCCCAACCCCGCTGTTCTTAGCATGTTAGTAAGTATATATATAGATATAGACATATAATAACTCGTGGGCTGAAATGTTGCGAACGTCCAACGTCCTGACCGTCCAACGCACTGCAACATGAACGCCCCACGCGCAACAGGAACGTATAACGTACTGCAACATGAACGACCCACGCGCAGCGTGAACGTATAACGCACTGCAACATGAACGCCCCACGCGCAACAGGAACGTATAACGCACTGCAACATGAACGCCCCACGCGCAACAGGAACGTATAACGTACTGCAACATGAACGCCCCACGCGCAACATGAACGTATAACGCACTGCAACATGAACGCCCCACGCGCAGCATAAACGTATAACGTACTGCAACATGAACGCCCTACGCGCAACATAAACGTATAACGCACTGCAACATGAACGCCCCACGCGCAACAGGAACGTATAACGCACTGCAACATGAACGCCCAACGCGCAACATGAACGCCCAACGCACT